TCCCATCTCAGCAACCTCCTCTCCCTCTGGGCTGCCCTCAGAAGCATCTGCCCACCTCCACTCCTGCCTGCCCCCTCTGTCCCAGGTCGCCCTCTGACTGCTGCAAGAGGGAAGCCCAACTTGGCGGCTGACTCTAGGGAGAAATGGACACATCTCTGGAACTCTCTGTCTCTGCAATTCCTATGCCACAACAAAACTACCTTCCCCAGGGCCCAGACTCCTCACACAGCACAGAGAAGCTGGTGCTTCATCTTGCTAGGGCTGTAGGGCTTAGGATATGATGTCACACCTGGCATTTTCCTCTGGCTCCTCTTCCTGTAGGGGAAGCCAAGCCTTGGAGGTTCTGTAGGGGCTAAAACATAACCTACCAACTGAGCCTCAGTTTCCAGTTCTTTAAAATAAGGCCCCAAACACCCATTTAAAAGTGTTCTTGGGCTGGAGGTGTGGCTCAAGTGATAGCATGCCTGCCTAGCAAATGTGAAGCCCTGAGTTCAAACCCCAGTACTGCCCAAAACAAAACAGACAAACAAAACTACTGTTCTTGCTGGGCAAAGGGAACTAAGAAAAGGAAAGAATCTAGTCAAGTGTATGACACCCCACACAATCAGAACAAACTAGTGTTTTCCTGTCAGTTTTCCCCATCAGCCAAGTGAGAACCTTGGAGAAGTTTCAGCAATGGGTAGGAGTTTGACACTTGATCCCTCAATGTGGTGCAAGGATCCCACACTTCCTGCTAGCTGCTAGAGCCACTGGCCCAGGGCAGAAGAGACGTGGCCTGGACGCTTTCATCCACAGAAGTGGGGCTGCCTTCCACCACAACTCAGAGCCACCTAGATAGTCCACAGGATTCTGAGATCCAGCCTAAGTCCTTTAAGGTGTTACCTCATCTGTCCAGGAGCTCCCAGATGCCCCATGCCTGGGACTCTCCACACCCAGGAATAGTAACAGGTAGGAGCAGCAAAATAGTCTGGGCGCCAGTGGCTCATGTCTATAATCCTTGGTACTTGGGAGGCTGAGATCAGGAGGATCATAGTTCAAGGCAAGCCCTGGCAAAAGGCAAGACTCTATCACAACCAGTAGCTGGGCAAGGTGGTACTTACCTGCCATCCTGCTACACAGGAGGCTGAGATGAGGGAGAGTCTCAGTTCCAAGCCAACTTGGGGGAAAAAAATTCTTGAGACCCATCTGAACAAAGAAAAAAAGCTGGGCATGGTGATAGGTACCTGTTATCCCAGTGATGACAGGAATCCTGAAATAGGAGAATTGTGGTCAAGGCCAGCCTGGGCCAAAATAATTGGAGCAAAAAGGGCTTGTGGTGGTGTTGCTTGAATGGTAGAGCACCTGCCTAGCAAGCGTGAAGCCCTGAGTTCAAACCCCAGTACACCCCATAGACAAAAAGAAAAACAAATGTCTGGGACCACAGAAGGTTGCAGAATCTTACCTTCAGGAACATCCAGCCTCATGGGAGACACAGGAACCATCGCACATGCAGAGATTAAAAGCTGAATAGGGTACCATCAGGCATGTTAGTGCCTGCGGGGGCGAGGAGGCATCAGGACCCATGGGCAGAGTGCTTGTGCACTCTTCCTGGACACCTGGGGCCCGTGTCAGGGAAAAGACGCATTTGAGCTGGCTCACTAGAACTAGAGCTGGGTTTGCAGCCAGGTCCTGGTAGAGGTTTGGATGGACACAGAGAGGGGTGTCCATCCCCCTTTCAGGAAGGGGGAAAGGCAGAGTCACCTGTGGGGATGCCATGAGGAGCCCCTTGGCCACTGCAGAGTTAGGGGCTAACTGATGAAGTCTTCTGCAGCCTCCTGGCCCTCTGGCCACAGATGGAAGGATGGGCACCTTCTGCATGTGGAGCTCTGGGGTGTCTCTTGGGACCTGTGTGTCTGTACCCAATGATGACAGGCTGAGGTGATGGTCAAGTTTGCCATCCTTCCTGCTGCTCCATTCTAATTTATAGACGGGAAACCCAAGAGGCCAGGCCCAGCCATATACTCTGTGTCCTAACCTCTGCTCCGTCCAGTCCTCTCAGGCCATGGAAATGACCAGGATTCGCCTTTCACCTCCATGGCTTGAACTCAAACAGGGCTTTGGAGAGGAAATGGCTTGCTGCTCCACCCGCTCTGTGCTGGCCAGGCAAGCAGGACTCCCAGCTGTTAGTCCAGGCTGAGGCTGGATCCCTATGCTTCTCTGGGTCTCAGTTTCTCCAATTTGTAACAGGGGACCTCAGGGTCAGCTCACTGCTCTCAGCCTTTTCAACTCCAGAGTGGTGTTTTTCTTGAATTGGAGCTGCGGGCAGAGAGCTGCAGCAGCCGCTGGGGATAGGCTGGAGGACACGGGAGGTCAGGAAGCTATAAGAAGGGGAGCTCTGGCCTCACTTCTGTGCCTGAGGAGGGGCAGGTTTGTGACCCTCAAGAGGCAGTGGCTGAGTGGGGGGTGATCTGCCAGGAAGAAGGCAGCTTGCTCAGAGGCCTGTGCCAGGGATGCTCCAGGGACAGCAGGTCATGGCTGCAAGACAGGGGAGAGGATTGTTCAGGGTGTAATTAGTGTGCTTTCAGGCATCCACCAAACTTCCCCTTCCTCTTAACAATTTGCAGCCAAAACAGTTTTGATCCCTGTGGACTTGCTTAAATCTTATCCAGAAAAAAAAAAAAACAAATAAATAAAAGAAAGAAAGAAAAAGGAAAAGGAAGAAAAGTAAGAGGGTTGTTATTTGTGAAATTGCATTTCCCAGGCATGAGGGTGAGTCACAGCATTTGCAGCTTCATGTTTCTTGTTTGGATGAACTTTTCTCTAACAGGCTGGGGTGATGCTGCCCCTCCTCCAGCTGTTTTGTGGGGTGGGTGTTGGAGGAGGGTCTCCCAGGGAAGATAAGCAGAGACCCGACAGTTGGAAAGGCCAGGCGCTCCTGGCCCACTGGAGGCCTGAGAGCCTGGGGAGCCTGAGAAATGCGGATATGGGGCAGTGGTGGGGGGGTGGCGAGGCGGGGAGGCAAGGGCAAGTTGGGAAGATGAAAAAGTTCTAAAGGTGGGTGGTGGTGATGGTTGCACAACAATGTCAGTGCTCTCGGTGCCACTTCAAAATCGTTAGAGTGGTAACTTTTGTTACTGGTACTTTACCACACACCGCAATATACTCTCAGTTCCCGGTCCCAAGCTGCTGCTTTGGTGGGTCTGAGGTGGGGCCCCGAGAACTGTTTTGGTTACAGTTTTCCCAGGTCATTCAATACAAGTTTGGACACACTCATTTAATCTGTAAAATGGGGACAGTGACTCATAGGGTTGTGGCAAGAATCAACTATCTTAGTGAGTGTAAAGTTTCCAGGGCTTGGCTTGTCCCCATGGTCATTTCGATTGGACTTCCATCACAGCTGTATCCCAGGCCCGAAAGGTGTTCTCTGTGAGTTCACCTCCTGTAGGGATGGGGCCCTCTGCCTCTCAGGCGCACCACTCTGTGCTGGGCTGCTCTGAGAGCTAAAGAGACTGCCCAGGCTGAATGCAGGCTGAGGCAGTATCTTTACTGTCTGGATTTATGGTGGTCTGGACAGTGGTGGAGCAGAGACAGTCATCAGGACCCATGGAGTTCCCTTCCCCAGTCCCTGAAGGATAGCTGTGTGTTGAACCTAGGCCACTCCAGGTGTGGTGCCTGACTTTCCTTCCATATTCCAGACTCAGGTCCAAAAATATATAAGAGCAAATAGGGGCCCACAATAGGGGAGGGCTGTCTCAGGGTCACACAACAGGGTGTCCTGAGGTACCATCTCACATAGATGATGAGGGCTGTCCTCTCAGAAGGGAGTGGCAGTCCACTAAGGATGGAAACAGCAAGGAGGCACATGTGGGGGTGAGGCTGCTCTGATTGGGGTAGGGAAGGGTGTGTCCAATGCCCTGGGCACAGCCCTTTGCTCTCTTCCCTCCCCTTCCACACTGAGGAGACACAGAGAGGACTGTCCCCACCCTGGGCCCCATCTTTGTAAAGGAGCCTGAGGCCTTTCCTTCTGGGGGTCTTGTTTCTGTAGCAGCCTGAGGACTCCCAAGAGCAAAGCCTCCTCTCCTTATAGGCTCAAGGCCCCAAAGACTCCTGGCTCATTCCTGCCATTGTTGGGCACCTTAGGGGAGCCATGGGATACCCAAGGCCAGCTTTGTTGTTGATCTTTCTGGGAAGCTGCCTCTTTCCAGCCTTGGCCTTCCTCTAGGAAAAGGGGACCTGTGGCCATCATTGTCAGCCCTATCACAGGCCCCATCTTCACTAAATTCCAGTGTGCCAGGCTGCCTGGAACCCGTGACTCCTATAAATAGAGACTGTATATACCAGGAGAGGCCTGAGCTGCATCGGCTCCAAAGCTCAGTGGGACGTCTGGTTCCTGTCATGTGGAGGTGGGAGAAGTAGGCCATTTCCCTCCTCGGGCTCCCAGAGAGGTGGCCTGGGCCGAGCCAGGCTCCCAGACCATCTGTGTGTAGGGCCTTGTGCATAGGATCACAGGCAGTTGGCTGGACTTCAGTCTTCTCTTCTGCAAAATGGAAATCATGCTGCAGCCTCACGTGCCTGTCCCTTACAAGTTGGGGAAACTGAGTCAGCAGTGACAGACCTAACATCTCTCCACCAGCTAGTGCAGAGCCCCAAATCTAACAGTTTGCTTTCATGACACCTTCTTACCTCATGGCACAGTGGAAGAACCAATTGTAATAACACTCTTTGTCACCAAATACTGAGTGGTTCCTAAGGGCCAGTATGGTGCAAAGTGCTTTACAATCATGACCTCATTTGGGCTTCACAGAAACCACCTAGGCGGTAGTTGTTATTCCCATGTCACAGACAGGACCACTGAGGCCTATGTAGCTAATTGGCTTGCCCATGGACACCAACTAAAGTTAGGATTTGAACCCAAGGCTCTTGGAGACCAGCTGAAATTCAGTATGGATTTGTGTGTATGTGAGGGTAGGGTTGGAAGTCTTCCGAGGTTGGGGCTGCCAATGTGCCTCTGTCCCTCACAGGCGCTGAGCAGCAGTGTGTACAAGAGCGCCTCACCCTATGGCTCGCTCAACAACATCGCTGACGGCCTGAGCTCCCTCACTGAGCACTTCTCCGACCTGACACTCACCTCCGAGGCCCGCAAACCCAGCAAGCGGCCCCCGCCCAACTACTTGTGTCACCTGTGCTTCAACAAAGGACACTACATCAAGGACTGTCCCCAGGTAAGGCACCCCTTGCCAGAAGGGACTCTTAGACTCCCTCTCTGACCTGGGTCACAGGCACGGTAGTCTCTTCAGAACCCTCTCTGGTCCTCTGACCCCTCTGCTATTGCAGAGGCAAGGCTGGCTGGTATGGACAGGGCAGAGGCCTAGCTTGGACTCATACTGCTTGAGTGGGGAATTCTGGACCCAAACGAGGCCCCAAAATGAGGTTCAGGGCCTTCGGGTCCCTACCAGTTTCCCTGCAGTGTGGGTCCCATGACGATGGGACAGAATGGGGCCGGCAGCCTCCTCATAGCTCTCTGGAGGCTCCATCTGCTTGCACTCACCAGGAAGGAATGCAGGCTCTGGGCCAGGAATCCAGATGTGCGCCCCCTCCCTCAGACCCCACCTCTGCCTCCTCAGCCTGTTATAAGGAGCGACTGGGTCCTGGCCCACTTTGTGCCCCAGGATGGGTGTGGGCGAAGGCCTTGGGCCGTGAGGGGCTGAGTGTCTCTCTGGGGACGAGGGAGAGGAGATGGAGGGTGCTCAGGGACGCCTTGTTCTCTCCCCTAACACTTCGCCACGACGAATCGGACCTGCTGAATAACTGGTTATTCCCAGAGTAACCCCTGTCCCTCTAGTAGACATGGCTCTGTGATCTTGAGGAGAAAAGGTAGCAGCTGTCTTTTTTAAGCACGTATGAGATTATCAGTGATTTTGTCCCTATTATTTTTTTCTTATTTTCCAGTCTTTTCTACAATGTAGTACTGGTTTTATTTTATCTATGTAATGGAAATGGAATTCTAAAGACTGAAAATCCATGTAGCATTATCCTCCAGATGTTGGAAGCTAGAGTGTGGCTGGGAGGGGCTGAATCCAGGGCCATGGGAGGCTGAGATGTGCTTGCTGCTCATCACAGCCCCAAGCTCTTCTGAGCAGACGCCACACCAGGCTTTGGGTCTTTGCTGCTTTAAGTATGGCCCCAGCCCAGCTGACTCAGTGGCTCCTGGGAGCTGGTTAGAAATGCAGAATCCCAGACCTACCTCCAGACCCACCTCCAGACCTGTATGTTGGTCAGCTCTCCAGGTGACACAGGAGCCTCCCCTACCTGGACCTGCATGGTGGGAGCTGACCCAGTTGGGGTTTGCCCTACACCTCCTGTGGCCCCGTCCCCTCTCAATAGAGGCAGTAAACAAGGGGCCCTTGGTGTGAGGGGACGTCAGCAGAGTCTCTGTCCCCACCTAGGGCTCTCTGAGACACCTAAGGTTCTAAAGAGTCTGCCCATACCCACCAGCCTGCAGACCCTTGTGCCTTCCCTAGGTGACAGATTGGGTGAACAGTCATTCCTAACACCCTTGAGAGCTTTCCTCCATCCTCTCCTGCGTGGCCTGTACAACAAGCAGAGCAGGACTCAGCCTCAGTAAGGTGAGGACTGGCCCTGTGCTGAATGAACTGCTTACATTTCATGCAGCGCTCACAAACACCCTGTGCCACCACTCACATCAGCCGCATTCTGCAAGGTGGAATGTTGCTTTGAGTGAGGAGGAAATGCCACAGGATAGGTGATCTGGTCAGTGAAGGAGCTAAGGTTTTAACACGGACAGGCCAGAAGTCTCCTGAATGCTGAATGTTTCTTCCTTTCTTCGCTTATTTATGTACTTTTGTTTTATTTGAGACAGGATCTTGCTGTTCTAAACTCACTATGTAGCCCAGTCTGGCCTTGAACTCGTGATCCTCCTGCCTCTGCCTCCTGAATGCTGGGGTTATAGGCATGTACCACCATGGCCACCTGTGCTGTTTCTTCCTCTATATGGATCATTAGCTCTTAACTTTATGGCAGAAGTAGGCATTGTGGCCCCATTTTACAGCTAAACAAACTGAGTTTCTGAGAGGTGCAGTGTTGATGAGGGGGTAGAATATGTATGAGAGCTTGGTAACTCAGTGTGCGTTGCCTCCCTGAGCATGCGTACCACCCAAGCTGAGACTCCTGTGGTCTATTTAGCCTGGCTGAGCTCGCCAGGATGAAGTCTTCCCATTCCAAACCTGACTCTGTCCTGGCTTCCTAATAATCCAAGGCCCTCTTCATGAATGGTAGGAGATGAAATGAGGCTAATAGGAGAGCACTAACTCAGGAGTGTTTGAGGATGCGACAAAACAATGCAGGGAAAGTGCTTGACACAGCGCCTGGCACACAGTAAGTGCTCGATAAATGCTGGCTAGGATTACTTTTTCTCCTTGGGTCACCATGAATATTGCACCCACCTGTCAAGGAACTGGGTATTTTGGCAGGCTGGAATTTAATTGGATGTTGTTTGCCCCTCACCTGGACAGTATCTGCAGAGGAGGAGCTGGGCTAGATTCATCCCTGTTGCCCTTGCTGTCTGACCCCTGCACCAGCCTGTGGTTCCTCACCCAGCGGGTGCTCAGCACAGGTCTTCCTCATGGAAGGAACTTGGAAAGAAAGCTTTAGAAACCATGGAAGGAAATCTGTGTTTCAAATAAAATATTATAGGGCTGATGGAGTGGCTCAAGTGGTAGAGCACCTGCCTAGCAAATGTGAAGCCCTGAGTTCAAAACCCTAGTACTGCCAATAAAACAAAAATATCCTCCAAAAATGTTATAAAAGAGCTTAATATACATGCCATGTAAAAGTAGGATGCTTATTTTTGGTAACAAATTGAATGAGGTATGATTTGCTCACCATATAAATTACCATTTAAAAATGTGTAATTCAGTGATTTTTACTGTATTCAAAGCTCATGCAATCATCACCATAATCAGTCATAGAACATTTTTATCAACTCAAAAAAGAACTACAGGGGCTCAGGGCATGGCACAAGTGGTAGAGGGCCTCCTAATAAGTACAAGGCCCTGAGTTCAAACCCCAGTACCACCAGAAAGTTTTAAACCCTCCTGCATACTTTTTAGATATCACCTCCTGATCTTCCATCCTTTGGCAAGCAATCATCTACTTCCTCTTTCTATAGATTCGCCTGTTCTGGACATTTCACACAAGTGCAGTCATACAGGATTACACAGGGTTTTGTGAGTAGGTTCTTACACTTAGTGCGTTTTCAAGGTTCATTTGGGTCATAGCGTGTGTCAGTTTCCATGACTTGGAAAGAGTTCTATTGTGTTCTGTTTTCTGGAAGAGATTGTGAAGAAGTATTATTCATTCTTCTTTAGGTATTGGCTAGAATTCACCGTTGAAGCTGTCAGCAACTGGCTTTCCTTCATGGGTAGAGTTTGATGATGAGTTCAGTCTCTTTACTTGTTTAGATCTATTCTGCTTGCTTCATTCTTCTTGAGTCAATTACTGTAGCTTATGTAGTTCTAGGAATTTGTTTCATCTCATTTATCTAATTTATTGGCATGCAATTGTTTGTAGTATTCTCTGATAATCCTTTTTATTTCTGTAAGGTCAGTAATAATGTCCCCCTCCTTCATCTATGACTCTTGTAATTTGGGTCTTCTCTTTTTCTAGAACAAATCAGCTAAAGTTTGCCAATGTTGTTGAACTTTTCAAAGAACCAGCTTTTAGTTTAGTTGATTTTCTCTGTGGTTTTTCTATTCCCTGTTTTCTTTCCACTCTAATCTTTTTCCTTAAATTGTGGTAAAATACACATAATGTAAGATTTGCCATTGGAACCATGAGTATGCAGTCTAGTGCTATTAAAGCCATTTGCATGTGTGTGCAACCATCACCACCATCCAGCCACAGAACTCTCCATCTGGCAAAACCAATAACTCCCCACTGCCCACTCTTCTACTTCCTGTCTATGACCTTGACTTCTCTATGCACCACATGGAAGTACTTGTCCCTTTGTGACTAGCCTATTTGCATAATGTCCTCCTGGTTCATCCATGCTACCACATCGGTCAGAATTTCCTTTCTTTTTAAGGCTGAATAATATTCCATTATCTAGATATACCACATTTGTTCCTCCATCACCCGTCAGTGGACAAGTGGCTTGCTTCTATTTTTTGTAGAAGCACTATTCTGAATGGTACTGCTGTGAATATCTCTTCAGGTTATTGTTTTCAGTTCTGTGCTCTAGTCCTTATTGTTTCCTTCCATGAACTTGCTTTAGGTGTTACTTGTTGTCTGCATCCTTTTCTTTTTGGCAGTACTGGGGATTGAACCCAAGACCTCTCGCTCATTAGGAAAAGAGCTCTACCACTTCAGCTCTCCCCCAGCCTTTTTCTTTTTATTTCATTTTTGAGATAGGGTATTGCTAACTACCCAGACTGGCTGCAAACTCAACATCCTCTTGCTTCCCTAGTAGCTGGCATTACAGGCATATACCACCATGCCTGGCTTTACCCTTCCTTTTTTAAATGTAGATGTTTATAGCTGTGAATTTCCCTGTGAGCTGCATCCCATAAGTTTTAATATGTTGAATCTTTGTTTGCATGCATCACAGGTATTTTACTTTTCTTGTGATTTCCTTTTAGACCTGCTGGTTATTTAGGAGGGCATTTTTCAATATCTGCATACTTGTGAGTTTTCCAAATATCTCTTAATGATTTCTAACTTTATTCCATTGTGGCCAGAGAACATGCTTTGTGTTATTTCATCCCTTCTAAGTGTGTTGTGGTTCGCCCCAGAGCTTAGCACATGGGCTGTCCTGGAGACTGTTTTATGTGCACTTGAGACAAGTGCACCCTGCTGTTGCTGGGTGGGGTGCTCTGTGGATATCCATTAGGGGTATTGGTTTATTGACCTGTTTATGTCTTCGATTGCCTTGTTGATATTCTGCCTAGTTCTTCTGCCCATTATTTTAAGTGGGGATATTGAGTTCTTCATCTATATATATATTATTGTTAAATTAGCTACTTTTCTTTAAGTCACTTAGGTTTTGTTTCATGTATTTTGGTGCTCTGTTTTTAGGTGCACCTATGTTAATAATTGCTCTATCTTATAGATGGATTGATCTTTTATCATTACAAAATATCCTTTTTTACTGTAATAACATTTTATTGTATACAAGTCTTTTTTGTCTCTAGTAGTATATCTACCT